ACCAGACTCTACGTGGCCCGCGGCCCGCGGGCCCTGCCTCACCTCACCCCGCCCCCTCTCGCCAAGGCCGGCAAGGTTCATCCCTACTGGAGGTGCCTCACCCCACCCCGCCCCGCAGCGCTGCTCGGACTCAGGTGAACTATTATCCTCCGTCAGCGTCAGCGGGGGGCCTCAAAATGAAATGGCCATGCTTGGAGAGAGGAAAAGGGGGGTGGGGGGAGAGGCTGAGCCAAAAGGGCAGTAAACGCGGCGAAAACGTAAAAAGAATCGTTATAGAGTGCGGGGGAGAGAAAAAAAAAGAAGAGACGGACATCAAAAAATAAGTGAAAAGTTCCAGAGTAAAAAAGCGGAATGGAATTCTTTTTTAAGCTCACGCAGCAAGAGCAATGGCAACGTTGGACGAAAACATATCCTGCTCGCCCAAACCTCTGTATTTTTGCACGTGTCAAGGTCAATCCCATTGCCTTCCTCCAGCCCTCCGGTTCCAGCCAGCAGCAGGAGCCGGGAGGCCGTCCCCACAGTGCCAGCGGGGCCTTCCCTGGAGGGTATTACGGGGACCCGGCCGCGCCTTCCGCCGGGAACAAGCTCTCCGCCACGGAGCCTCTCCGTCATCCCACATTTTCACCATGCTCCTCTCCCGGCCGGCGGCTCAGGAAAATATGCTCCGTTTATTGCATCCTAGATTCTCTCGCTCTCCGGGGCCCCTGAGCGCAGCCGTGAAATATGGGCATTGGGACGGGACGGGCGGCGGGCCCCGCGGGGCCCCGGTGCGGCGGCGCCCTGTGGGCCCCAGCGGCCCCATCGGACCCAGCCGCCCCTCAAGCCTCGGCCACTTGGATTTTTTCGTCCAGATTTCAATAATTTCTTCAGTGCCTTTGCACGTTACACTAACAATCACGAGCACGACGTTTTGGCGGTGGGCGTTCGCCGTACGTTCTGGACCGTGCGTGGCGTGGCGAGGCGTGGCGGTCGGCAGCCACTTGTTGAATGAATGAGACCGCGGACTGCGGGGCAGAGGCCAGCCCTCATTTTCATTGCGGCCCGACGGCCGGCCCGGCCCGCCTGCATGGCTGGCGAGGCGTCGCCACGGCGTCCGTCGTGGCGCCTGCTCGCCCGGCTGGCGTCGATGAGGAGGCGTCACGAGCTCCAAGGCTGAGGCCGGCCCGGCACTAGCGGCCAGCTGTGGCCTGGCGTTGGGGGCCGCCCGGCTCCAAAAACCTCTCCAGAGCGCCCCGCATTTACACTCGAGTGCAAAATGGAGTGCACCGAGGGGGTGGTGGCAGAGGAGGGAAGGGGGAGCTTTCTGGAACGAGAGAGGGTCGTGGAGAGGCCGGGAGGGGGGATGTGGCTGTAGCATTATGCCATGGCCGGAGCAGCAGCGGGTCAGAAGGTCGTCGCCTCGTGGCGCGGCGTGGCGCGGCGTGGCGCACCCTCTTGACCGCAATGCGACATCTGGCGACAGAGGCTACAGGACTGCTGGCTGCCTCCGCGCACAAAATGTCGATGATGACAAAACGATCCTCGCGCTGGCGAGGAGGAGGAGCGGAGGAGGAGGAGGGGGAGGGGCTCTACTGTCAGCCTCTGTCAGCCTTGGCGGGGAAACAAATGACACTAGTTGAGACGAATTCCAGAGTCTGGGACTCCAATCAGTGCCGGGACGACACAGATGATCGTGTGTGGGAAGCGAGCGTCCAACACACATTCACATTCCGCATCCCTTATTCCCCTCTCGACGACAAGCCCATAAAAGTTGTGCTGTCGTACATGCACACCACCGCCACCACCGCATGCCGTTATCCCTGGAAGGGCGCGGGGTTGGTGACGAAATGACACACACGAGTTATTGTTTTCATCGGGTAAAAATAAAGAAGCGGCTGCGGCTGCGATGTTGCTCGAGCGGGTCGGCTGCACCGCGCTGGCTGCACCACACGGTCGCCGCCGCCAACGCACTCCGTCTCGCCTGGCGGGGCGTGAGGCGCGCGCGAGCGACCGCGAGCGCGTGTGTAGTCTACCGTCATGTCCGCCCTAGACATGAAACAAAAATTTATAAGAGGAAAATATCTCCTCGAAGCGCTCGTGGGTCCCGTCGTCTCCTGCTGCAAACCGCGCGCGATCCCTCGGCGATCCCCCCCGGCGCGCGCGGGATTGAGTGGCGCGGAGTTGGTGGCGGGGCTCGCGTGGGCCGGCCAAAGGATTAAAGGGCCAGCAGGGCCCGTTATAACACCGCGCAACCTTTTGACTGTGTCGACGGGACGGCGCGGCTCAGCCTTCGGAAGAGAGAAAATCCTCTCGAATTTTCCCAAAATGTAGAGAAAAAACAGTTTTGTGCACGAATAGTATGACAAAACCCACATTTACACCCATTAAAACCACAAAATTACTTAATTGCTGTAAAGCTAAAATCCTCTCAACATTTAAGGTTTATTACGAATTTAAGAAGTGCAATTTAAGAGTGCAATCATGCCATCTGTGTACGGTGTTCGGTTGAGTTGCGGTCCCGAGCGAAAAAGCTGCGCGCTCACGCGTCACGTCCACTGAGTGCGGTTTTGTTTTTCAATTAATTTTTGGCGGTGTGAAAATAAAAATAAGGCCACTCTGATTTAATGGACATTCACGCCGTGTGAACAGAGTCAGCGGACGAGAGGTATGGGGAGAGGAACGGGGAGGAAGAGGGAGAGGGGGGG